TTGATCCTTGTTGCTTTAAAGTCTAATTTATCAGAGATGAGAATTGCAACTCCTGCTTTTTTTTGCTCTCCATTTGCTTGGCAAATCTTCCTCCATCCCTTTATTTTGAGCCTTTGTGTATCCTTGCATATGAGATGGGTTTCCTGGATACAGCACACCGATGGATTTTGGCTTTTTATCCAGTTTGTCAGTCTGTGTCTTTTGATTGAGGCATTTAGTCAATTTACAGTTAGGGTTAATATTGTTATGTGTGAATTTGATACTGCCATTTTGATGCTAGCTGGCTGTTTTGCCCTTTAGTTGATGGAGATTCTTCATTGTGTTGATGCTCTTTACCATTTGGTATGTTTTCGGAGTGGCTGGTGCTGGTTGTTCCTTTCTATGTATGAGCCTCTTTCTGGAGCTCTTGTAAAACAGGCCTGGTGGTGGTGAAATCTCTGAGTACTTGCTTTTTCGCAAAGGATTTTATTTTTCCTTCACTTATGAAGCTTAGTTTGGCTGGATATGCAATTCTGGGTTGAAAGTTCTTTTCCTTAAGGATGTTGAATATTGGCCCCCACTCTCTTCTGCCTTGTAGGTTTTCTGTTGAGAGATCTGTTGTGAGTCTGATGGGCTTCCCTTTATGGGTAACCCGACCTTTTTCTCTGGCTGCCCTTACTATTTTCTTCTTCATTTCAACCCTGGTGAATCTGAGGATTATGTGCCTTGGGGTTGCTCTTCTTGACGAATATCTTTGTGGTGTTCTCTGTATTTCCTGGACTTGAATATTGACCTGTCTTGCTAGCTTGGGGAAGTTTTCCTGGGTAATGTCCTGAAGAGTATTTTCCAGCTTGGATTCATTCTCTCTGTCACATTCAGTTTCACCTATCAAACGTAGATAAGGTCTTTTCACATAGTCCCACATTTCTTGGAGACTTTGTTCATTCCTTTTTACCCTTTTTTCTCTAATCTTGCCTTCTCGTTTTATTTCATTGAGTTGATCTTCGACCTCTGATATCCTTTCTTCTGCTTGGTCAATTCGGCTGTTGAAACTTGTGTATGCTTCACGAAGTTCTCGTTTTGTGTTTTTCAGCTCCATCAATTCACTTATATTGCTCTCTACTTTGTCCATTCTCGTTAGCATTTCGTCAAATCTTTTTTCAACGTTCTTAGTTTCTTTGCATTGGGTTAGAACATGTTATTTAAGTTCACAGAAGTTTCTCACTACCCACCTTCTGAAGTCTGATTCTGTCATTTCATCACACTCGTTCTCCATCCAACCTTGTTCCCTTGCTGGTGAGGAGTTGTGTTCCCTTATAGGAGGAGAGGTGTTTTGGTTTTTGGTGTTTTCATCCTTTTTGCACTGGTTTCTTCCCATCTTTGTGGATTTATCCACCTGTCGGCTTTGTAGTTGCCGACTTTCACATTGGGTCTAAGTGGATGTCCAGGTTGTTGATGATGAAGTTATTTCTGTTTCTTAGTTTTCCTTCTAACAGTCTGGCCCTCTGTTGTGGGACTGCTGAGGTACCCTCAAGGCCCCGCTTGCCTGGGGATCACCTGCAGCAGCTGCAGAACAGTAAGGGTTGCTACAGTTTCTTCTTCTGCTATCTTTGTCCCAGAAGGATACCCGTCAAATGTCAGTCTGATCTCTCCTTTATGAGGTGACTCTTTGGATATACAGGGGTTAGGGAGTTGCTTGAGGAGACAGTCTGTCCTTTATAGGAGCTCAAGTGCTGAGCTGTGAGCTCCATTGTTCATTCAGAGCTGCCAGGCAGGTATGTTTAGATCTGCTGCAGCAGAACTCATAAACCCCTTTTTTTCCCCAAGTGCTCTGTCCCAGGGAGTTAGGGCTTTATTTATGAGTTTCCGTTGTGCTGCTGCCTTTTTTTCAGGGCTGCCCTGCCTAGCAAGGAGGCAGGCTGCCTCAGCAGTGGTGGACTACCTCCATAGTGGTGGAGTGACTCGGTAGTGGCAGACGCCCCTTCCCCCAGAGCTGGACCCTCCCGCGTTCAACTGTGCTTGCTGTGAAACTCTGAACCCAGAGCGTTTCCAGTTGCATTTTTTTTTTTTTTTTTTTTTTTTTTTTGTGGTGGTGGGAGCAGCCGAGCCTTATCACCGGGCTCCCTGCCTCTGAGCCTTTTGTTCAGTGGAATGGTCGACCCACTCCCCGGTGTTCCAGTCGCCTGTTGAAAAGGCGACAGGATCTGTGTGATTTCCAGTGGCGACTCACTGTGCCTTCTGTAACAGCGGCGCTGAGATTTGTGGGGCTTTTTTTTCCTGGGAATCTCCTGGTCTGGCTCCCTGTTTCAGTCCCCTTTTTAATCAGATGAATGGGCGACTGTGCCTTCCTGGGGCTCCAATCTCCAGCTAAAAGGTCACCCGGATCAGTGTTTTTTTGTACGGAGAACCACTGTGCTGGGCTGCTGGCAAAGCAGCCCCACCGGCCAGAATAGCCATGCTGGCGACCCGTGGGGCTCCTCTGCCTGGGAATCTCCTGGTCTGTGGGCAATATAAATCCTTCTGGAAATGCAGTGTCCACTCACCCTCTGTGCTTTCACTGGGAGCTGCAATCCTGAGCTGTTTCTAAACGGCCATCTTCGATTTTTCTTTCCCTTTGTTTCATTTCTTTCAACAGAGTCTTGCTCTGTCGCCCAGGATTAAGTGCAATGGCATGATCTCGGCTCATTGCAAATTCAGCCTCCCAGGTTCAAGCTATTCTCATACCTCAGCCTCCTGAGTAGCTGGGACTATAGGCATGCACAGCCATGCTGGGCTTATATTTGTATTTTTAGCATAGACAAGTTTTCACCATGTCAGCCAGGCTGGTCTTGAACTCTTGGCCTCAAGTGATCTGCCTGCCTTGGCCTCCCAAAGTGGTGGGATTGCAGGCGTAAGCCACTGCACCAGCCTTGTGTTTTTTTCTTTTAAACGGGATAGCTCTAACAAAATGCTTTGTGTCATTTTTTTGTCACGTAATAGAATGTCTAGTCTGTGGTTCAAGGCTTATTATTCCTAATAATTAGATTCTGAACTAAGCTTTCTCTTAATTTATTACCTTTGTCTTCTACCATGGTAGTAAATTTTCTGGTTATTTCAATCACAACACTGCTTTCTGAATTTTCTTCAACCACATTTTTATGTCTAAAAAGAGAAAAATTGCTTGGTTAAACTGCAGAAGAGACTTGTCATCAAGAGGCTGTACATATGGACAAGTAGTAAGGAGCCATATAACATGTTAATTGCCTCTGTGATGCTAGAAAGTAGCCCTGACCCTTGACCCCTGCCTTATAGAGGTTGGCTCTTTGAGTTTAGGATACATAAATCCCAAGGGGGACATTCTTCCAGTAACCGATCAAGGACTTCAGTTACTAAATTTCCCAAGGGAGAAATGTGGACAGCTAAAATTGAAAGCCTTACTGAGAAGATAGAGACCATTGTTCATGACAAGTAGCTTTGAAGAGATTAGTTGTGTTGTAGTGGCAGAACTGATACTGCTAGAATTATAGAAGTTATCTGGCATTGGGGAGGGAAGTGATCAAAATGGATGTTTATTATGGCAGAAAGTAAAAGGCAGATTCCCAGTTGAATTGAGAAAGCTGTTTGGTCAGCTCAGGCTTTCCCTGGCTGGGGCTTTGCATCTTCTGGTTTAGGCCTCCCTAAAGGTAACCAGTGTCCTGTAGTATTCCTTAGAAGTAGAAGATATTAGCCGGGCGCGGTGGCTCACGCCTGTAATCCCAGCACTTTGGGAGGCCGAGGCGGGTGGATCACGAGGTCAAGAGATCGAGACCATCCTGGTCAACACGGTGAAACCCCGTCTCTACTAAAAATACAAAAAATCAGCTGGGCATGGTGGCGCATGCCTGTAATCCCAGCTACTCAGGAGGCTGAGGCAGGAGAATTGCCTGAACCCAGGAGGCGGAGGTTGCGGTGAGCCGAGATCGCGCCGTTGCACTCCAGCCTGGGTAACATGAGTGAAACGCTGTCTCAAAAAAAAAAAAAAAAAAAAAAGAAGTAGAAGATATTGTTAATAGCTCTTTGGTGTTTTACTCTTGAAACTGTCTGATGATGCTATAGTGAGATCATCTCAACTCAATGTTGCTTTGGTTCTTTGACAAAGACATTTTAGTGAGGGATTGAGCAGGCAGGTAATATTTTACTTAGATCAGTGTTTACTCCCAAAGGCAGTAGCACCTTCTTTCCTAGGATTGGTATGTATCTTCTTATGTTTTATTTGGCTACTTAGTATAATTTTTTGCTTAAGTGGAGAGAGGAGCATTAGGGGACTTAGGCTTCAAAATTACATAGAAAATTATGCTGCCTGGCATGGTGAGCACAATGAGAATAGAAAAACAAAAAATCCTGGCTGGGTGCAGTGACCCACGCCTGTAATTCCAGCACTTTGGGAGGCCTAGTCCGGCGGATCACAAGGTCAGGAGTTGGAGGCCAGCCCGGACAACATGGTAAAACCCTGTCTCTACTGAAAATAAAAAAAATTAGCCAGGCGTGGTGGCATGCGCCTGTAATCCCAGCTACTCTGGAGGCTGAGGCAGGAGAATTGCTTGAACTCAGGAGGTGGAGGTTGTGGTGAGCGGAGATAAAGCCACTGCACTCCAGCCTGAGCGACAGAGCAAGACTCTGTCTCAAAAAAAAAAAAAAAAAAAAAAAAAATCCCACAAGAGAGGACTGGTGAAACTATGTATGTTCTAGACTGACTTGCTTTTTTAAAGCATTGTTCTTTAATTTTATTATTGTGATCAAGATGGTCATGCAAAACATTCCATAGGTTCTTTCTTAACTTTTACCCTAAGCTCCATTTCTTTCTTGCTTAGCAGTTCTTCCTGTTGCCAAGGTTGAGATGACCTACTTTTGATAGCAATTCCCAAATTGCCTTCAGGTATTTACATGGGGAGCAAGAGGTTCAGTGGGGTCTGTCAAGTATTGCATGAGGGCACATTACCGTGCATGTGTCTCCTTGTTTTTATTCCATATCTTGTTTCCCTCTGAACATCTCTATGTTGCAGGTTCTCACCAGAAAATACAGAACTTCTTACAACTTTAGAATTACTCTACTTATAGGTAATAAAAACTCTTGATTCATTAATGCGTTGATGTTAGAAATGCTTTTGGGTTTGTGTGTATGGTGGTTTTCCTGCATTTTGGTATTTATTTTACTAAAGGTCAAATATAGTACATGAACTACACTCTATTTGATTTTCTTTGCTAAAGGAATTAATTTTCCACATTTAAATTAGAAACAATTATATTTTAGCCTAGTGCAACTATAATTCTTATCTAGGCTGGGCATGGTGCCTCATGCCTGTAATCTTAGCACCGTGGGAGGCTGAGACTGGCAAATCACTTGATTCCAGGAGTAGAAGACCAGACTGGGCAACATAGTGAGATCCTGTCTCTACAAAAAATACAAAAATTAGCCAGGCATGGTGTTGTGCATCTGTAGCCCCAGCTACTTGGGAGGCTGAGGTGGGAGGATTGCTTGAACTCGGGAGGTAGAGGTTGCAGTGAGCTGAGATTGAGCCACTGTACTCCAGCCTGGGTGACAGAGTCAGACCCTATCTCAAAAAAGTTCTTATGCAACCCAGGAAAGAGCATATATGAGAAATAACTCTGGTCTTGGGGGTTGCTATTTTGTTGTGAAAAGAGAAACTGATACAAGTGAGCAGTTCTTAGGGCTTTGGGGCAAAGCCATTTCTGTTGATCTTTCTTCCCAGCCAAGGTCTTATTGGAAAGAGAGAAGGCAAAGCATCCTTTATTTAGAATAAGAAGTCTTCAGTCCCTCCACATTCCTGAATGTGAATGGGATTCTTTTAGCTCCATTGATTCTCTTGCTGAGGATCCAGTGCCCAGATATCCAAGGGGCCTTTCCCCCATCTCCAACATACACATTTGCCAATTTTCTTGTTCAGCTGATTTTGCCTCCAGCCCTGCCTCTGTGATGGCCTTTATGTCTATTTTGTGGTTTTTTTTTTTTTTTTTTTTTGAGGTGGAGTTTCACCCTTGTTTCCCAGGCTGGAGTGTTATGGTGCGTTCTGGGGTCACTGAAACCTCTGTCTCCCGGGTTCAAGCGATTCTTCTGCCTCAGCCTCCCGAGTAGCTAGGATTATAGGTGCCCGTCACCATGCTCAGCTAATTTTTGTGTTTTTATTAGAGATGGGCTTTCACCATGTTGTCCAGGCTGGTCTTGAACTCCTGACCTCAAGTGATGTGCCCGCCTCGGCCTCCCAAAGTGCTGTGATTACAGGTGAGAGACACTGTATCCAGCCTCGTTTTTCTTTAAAAGGAATCAGGAGCTTAACCCTGGGTCTTCCTGGGCTTTGGGTTGGGAGGCTGGCCCCACAGTAGATGAGGCTACCCAGCTCATTTTCTGCCAAGAGACATTAAATATAGAACAGTACTAGTGCTTCTATCAAATGGATACTTTGACTTTATCAGGGGGATAAATTAACATAGATAGAAGGAAAACCATGACTGTAGGGATTTTTAGTTTATTTTCTGGGAACTGTAGCTGCCTTTTTTTTTTTTTCCCCCCCAAGAGAATAAAAAAAGCCAGGATATTTCTGTTCAGGGTGTGGTTGGCCAGACTTTTTAACTGCCATCTTTTTCTCATGTAAATTGTCTTATTTGCTTTTTTTCCCAAGCTCAGCATTTACTGGAAGGTATTTGAACATCTTGGCAATGCACTGATTTATGATCCTACCAACTATAAGGTATTGCAGGCTGTGAAGGCTCTGGCCTTCTTAAGAGATGACCCCACTGCTCCTAGAGATGATCTGACCCTGGAAAGCAAAGGAATAGCTTCTTCAGTTTGAATACCTGAAAAATAGAAAAAATATAAATAAAAGGTAGTTGTTCTTATTTGAAAATATTGTCAAACATGCTCTATCTTCTAAAACTGCGTATTTGTTACAATAGACATGCATGTAACCCCTGCAGAGAGCAAAATCATAGTGCTAGTAAAGCTTATGTGTTACTTAGGAAATTAGCAATGCCTCCACAACTATTGTCAAAAATAATTCTGCTGGGCATGGTGACTTATGCCTGTGATCCTAAGACTTTGGAACGCTGAGGCAAGAGGATCACTTGAGGCCAGGAGTTCAAGATCAGGCTGGGCAACCTAGACCCCCATCTCTGCAAACAAAATTATTACCCAGTCATGGTGGCACACACCTGTAGTCCTTGCTACTCGGAGGGTGGAAGAGGGAGGATCACTTGAGTCCAGGAGTTTGAGGCTACAGTGGGCTATGATGGCACCACTGCACTCCAGCCTAGGTGACAGAGTGAGACCCTATCTCTAAAAAATAATAATAATTATGTTGAAATGACCTCTAGAGTCCTAAGGATCTGTTACTACAACGTTTGTCTAGATGTGACTTTGGGAATGAGAAGGAATAGCATCAAATTGATGAATATCATTGAGGAGATGTAGTAAGACAAGCTGTATATTGAAGGATACAAACTGAATTCCGATTTAGGAAGTCATAATAGCCTGTCAGCTCCTCACCTTGATACCTTTCCTTAGGGAAATGAAAGGGCTGGGCTGGTGAAGCCTACAGCTGACTCACCTTCTGTTGTAGGAAGAAATGTACCTTAAATATCCATGTATGGGTGTATTTTAGGTGTCTAGAACACTTGGTGTACCAAATAGAGGCTGCAGAGAACAGATTAAGTTTTTACTTAAAGGGCCCTGGTATTCACTCTGAAATACTGACTTTCCTGGCTAGAAGTAGGAAACAAATTAGATGGGTAAAGCAAGTAATATTTTATCTTTTTTTGTGCTCTGCAAACAGAGCCACAGTATAGGGTGCAAGGACATTCCTCAGGAACATTTGTCCCAGTAGCTTGGCTATATTGTTTATGTCCCTGGAAGAAATTTTTTAGTCCCATCTGTGCTGCTGGGCCTGCTGAATGTCTATAGACTCAGGAAGGCTGCCTCACTGCTATAGCGTTTTGGGAATGACTGATTTACTTTCTATGTGCCATGTTTTCAGGCCATCTTGGCAGCAGGCAGCATGATGCAGACCCATGGGGACTTTGATGTTGCTGTTGCCCTCACCAGATACAGAGTTGTGGCTTGTGCTGTTCCAGAAAGTCCTCTAGTCTGAAATAACATTGGAATGTGTTTCTTCGGCAAGAAGAAATATGTGGCAGCCAGTATCCCCTCATGTTCTTTGTTTGCATACATACATGTGGTTATTGGGTCTTCTTAGCTTGCCCCACTCCCTCATTGACTGCTGCTTCTCTCTCATAGGCCATCAGCTGCCTGAAATGAGGCAACTTCTTGGCACCCTTCGATTGGAAGATTCTGTATAATGTGGGCCTTGTCCATTTGACCATGCAGCAGTATGCATCAGCTTTTCATTTTCTCAGTGCGGCCACCAACTTCAAGCCAAAGATGGGGGAGCTCTATATGCTTTTGGCAGGTAAGAAACATTTATGTGGAAAACTCTCTCTGCCATTTGTAATGAGGGAAAAATGGATTCAAATCATAGGAGATCACTGGATGTCTTATAGGAGCCATTTTCTTGGAGATCCTATAGGAATCTGGATTACTCTTCTGGAGCTTAAAGAAATAACAAATGATGACAAAGGAACTTGATTGTTTCTAACTTGATGGAGTTCCACTCAAAGACCAACAGGTTAAATAAAGATAATCCCTCGTTCACCTTTTACCAATTTTTTCCCCTTGCTGTGACAATTCATTTATATATATATTGAGTCCAACTAAGTTCCAGACAGCAAGTGTTAAGAGCTTGGGTTTTAGGTGGGGAACCTGCTTCTCCTGTTTACTATATGTACCTAGGCCTAGTGTGAGGATTGCATGATTAAACACTCAATAAATAATAGTGATTTTGTTGAAACACTGATTTTTGAAAACTTGGTTTTATTGTGGTTATATAACTGGTCTATTATTATCAATATTGTTATTATAATTGGGAAGTCAAGCTACCTTATGTTGAAACCCTTACCTCTTCTGAGCATGTTGTGTAGAATGCCATTCTCTTCCTGAAACTCAATTTTATACCATGCAAATACTAAAATTGATCATGAAAATAAGTTAGAATTAAAAACTTTAAAAATTATACAAAGCCATTTAATTTTAAATTACTGACTAAATAGTCTTCCTGTGAAATATTTTCTCCTATACATTTACTTACCAAATGTAAGACCCAAAGCAGATTTCCATGTCCTCATTTGGCAGTGGTCTTCCAGTGGCTTTTTGTTCATTACTGTGGGGTTCTTATTTATAAGCGAAAGCTTGTGAAAGCAGTAGAGGCATGGTTATTTGAGAGTTGCCTGCATACAGAAATAACTTTTTTTTTTTTTCTTTTTCCCCATTTATTTATTTTATTGCATTTTAGGTTTTGGGGTACATGTGAAGAACATGCAAAATTGTTGCATAGGAACACACGTGGCAGTGTGATTTGCTGCCTTCCTCCCCATGACCTACATCTGGCGTTTCTCCCCATGCTATCTCTCCCCAGCTTCCCACCCCCCACCGTGCCTCCCCTATTTCCCCCCAACTGACCCCAGTGTGTAGTGCTCCCCTCCCTGTGTCCACGTATTCTCATTGTTCAACACCCGCCTATGAGTGAGAACATGCGGTGTTTGATCTTCTGCTCTTCTGTCAGTTTGCTGAGAATGATGGTTTCCAGGTTCATCCATGTCCCTACAAAGGACCCAAACTCATCGTTTTTGATGGCTGCATAATATTCCATGGTGTATATGTGCCACATTTTCCCTATCCAGTCTATCGTAGATGGGCATTTGGGTTGGTTCCAGCTCTTTGCTATTGTAAACAGTGCTGCAATGAACATTCGTGTGCACATGTCCTTATAGTAGAACGATTTGTAATCCTTTGGATATATACCCAGTAATGGGATTGCTGGGCCAAATGGAATTTCTATTTCTAGGTCCTTGAGGAATCGCCACACTGTCTTCCACAATTGTTGAATTAATATACACTCCGACCAACAGTGCAAAAGTGTTCCTATTTCTCCACATCCTCTCCAGCATCTGTTGTCTCCAGATTTTTTAATGATCGCCATTCTAACTGGCGTGAGATGGTATCTCAATGTTGTTTTGATTTGCATTTCTCTGATGACCAGTGATGATGAGCATTTTTTCATATGTTTGTTGGCCTCACGTATGTCTTCTTTTGTAAAGTGTCTGTTCATATCCTTTGCCCACTTTTGAATGGGCTTGTTAGTTGTTTTCTTGTAAATCTGTTTTAGTTCTTTGTAAATTTTGGATATCAGCCCTTTGTCAGATGAGTAAACTGCAAAAATTTTTTCCCAATCTGTTGGTTGCCGATTCACTCTAATGATTGTTTCTTTTGCCGTGCAGAAGCTGTGGAGTTTGATTAGGTCCTATTTGTCTATTTTGGCTTTTGTTGTCAATGCTTTTGGTGTTTTGGTCATGAAGTCCTTGCCTACACCTACGTCCTGAATGGTTTTGCCTAGATTTTCTTCTAGGGTTTTGATGGTGTTAGGTCTTATGTTTAAGTCTTTAATCCATCTGGAGTTAATTTTAGTGTAAGGTGTCAGGAAGGGGTCCAGTGTCTGCTTTCTGCACATGGCTAGCCAGTTTTCCCAACACCATTTATTGAACAGGGAATCCTTTCCCCATTGCTTGTTTTTGTCTGGTTTGTCAAAGACCAGATGGTTGTAGATATGTTGTGTTGCCTCCGAGACCTCTGTTCTGTTCCATTGGTCTATATCTCTGTTTTGGTACCAGTACCATGCTGTTTTGATTACTGTAGCCTTGTAGTATAGTTTGAAGTCTGGTAGTGTGATGCCCCCCGCTTTGTTCTTTTTGCTTACAATTGACTTGGCTATGCGGGCTCTCTTTTGGTTCCATATGAAGTTTAAGGTGGTTTTTTCCAGTTCTGCAAAGAAGGTCATTGGTAGCTTGATGGGGATAGCATTGAATCTGTAAATTACTTTCGGCAGTATGGCCATTTTCACGATATTGATTCTTCCTAACCATGAACATGGAATGTTTCTCCATCTGTTTGTGTCCTCTCTTATTTCGTTGAGCAGTGGCTTGTAGTTCTCCTTGAAGAGGTCCTTTACATTCCTTGTTAGTTGTATTCCTAGGTATTTTATTCTCTGTGGCAATTGTGAATGGAAGTTTGTTCTTGATTTGGCTCTCTTTGAGTCTGTTATTGGTGTATAGGAATGCATGTGATTTTTGCACATTGATTTTGTATCCTGAGACTTTGCTGAACTTGCTTATCAGTTTCAGGAGGTTTGGGGCTGAGACGATGGGGTCTTCTATATATACAATCATGTCGTCTGCAAATAGAGACAATTTGACTTCCTCCTTTCCTATTTGAATGCCCTTTATTTCTTTTTCTTGCCTGATTGCTCTGGGTAGAACTTCTAATAGTATATTGAATAGCAGTGGTGAGAGAGGGCATCCTTGTCTGGTGCCACATTTCAAGGGGAATGCTTCCAGTTTTTGCCCATTCAGTATGATATTGGCTGTTGGTTTGTCATAAATAGCTTTTATTATTTTAAGATACGTTCCATCGATACCTAGCTTATTGAGTGTTTTTAGCATAAAGGGCTGTTGAATTTTGTCAAAGGCCTTCTCTGCATCAATTGAGATAATCATGTGGTTTTTGTCTTTGGTTCTGTTTATGTGGTGAATTACGTTTATAGACTTGCGTATGTTGAACCAGCCTTGCATCCCCGGGAATAATCTTGCTTGATCATGGTGGATAAACTTTTTGATGTGCTGTTGCAATCGGCTTGTCAGTATTTTATTGAAGATTTTTGCATCTATGTTCATCATGGATATTGGCCTGAAGTTTTCTTTTCTTGTTGAGTCTCTGCCGGGTTTTGGAACCAGGATGATGTTGGTGTCATAAAATGATTTGGGAAAAATTCCCTCTTTTTGTATTGTTTGGAATAGTTTCAGAAGAAATGGTACCAGCTCCTCTTTGTATGCCTGGTAGAACTCCGCTGTGAATCCATCTGGACCTGGGCTTTTTTTGGGTGGTAAGCTCTTAATTGCTGCCTCAACTTCAGACCTTGTTATGGGTCTTTTCAGGGTTTGGGCTTCTTCCTGGTTTAGGCTTGGCAGGAGGCAAGTGTCCAGGAATTTATCCATTTCTTCCAGGTTTATTAGTTTGTGTGCATAGAGTTGTTTGTAATAATCTCTGATGATGTTTTGAATTTCTGTGGAATCTGTCGTGATATCCCCTTTATCGTTTTTTATTGCATCAATTTGGTTATTCTCTTCTTTTTTATTAATCTGGCTAGGGGTCTGTCTATTTTGTTGATCTTTTCAAAAAACCAGCTCCTGGATTTATTGATTTTTTGAAGGGTTTTTTGTGTCTCTATCTCCTTCAGTTCTGCTCTGATCTTAGCTATTTCCTGTCTTCTGCTAGACTTTGAGTTTTTTTAATCTTGCTCCTCTAGCTCTTTTAGTTTTGACGATAGGGTGTCAATTTTTGATCTCTCCTTGCTTCTCATGTGGGCACTTATTGCTATATATTTTCCTCTAGAGACTGCTTTAAATGTGTCCCAGAGATTCTGGTATGTTGTGTCTTCATTCTCGTTGGTTTTGAAGAACATCTTTATTTCTGCCTTCATTTCATTGTTTATCCAGTCAACATTCAAGAGCAAGTTGTTCAGCTTCCATGAAGCCGTGCGGTTCTGAGTTAGTTTTTGAATTCTGAATTCTAACTTGATTGCTCTGTGGTCTGAGAGACTGTTTGTTACGATTTCCATTCTTTTGCATTTGCTGAGGAGTGATTTACTCCCAATTATGTGGTCAATTTTAGAGTAGGTGTGATGTGGTGCTGAGAAGAATGTATATTCTGTGGATTTGGGGTGGAGCGTTCTGTAAATGTCTATTAGGTTTTCTTGGTCCAGGTCTGAGTTCAAGTCCTGGATATCCTTGTTAATTTTCTGTCTGGTTGATCTGTCTAATGTTGACAATGGGGTGTTAAAGTCTCCCACCATTATTGTGTGGGAGTCTAAGTCTCTTTGTAAGTCAATAAGAACTTGCCTTATGTATCTGGGTGCTCCTGTATTGGGTGCGTATATATTTAGGATCGTTAGCTCTTCTTGTTGCATTGATCCTTTTACCATTATGTAATGTCCCTCATTGCCTCTTATGATCTTTGTTGCTTTAAAGTCTAATTTATCAGAGATGAGAATTGCAACTCCTGCTTTTTTTTGCTCTCCATTTGCTTGGTAAATCTTCCTCCATCCCTTTATTTTGAGCCTTTGTGTATCCTTGCATGTGAGATGGGTTTCCTGGATACAGCACACCGATGGGTTTTGTCTTTTTATCCAATTTGCCAGTCTGTGTCTTTTGATTGGGGCATTTAGTCCATTTACATTTAGGGTTAATATTGTTATGTGTGAATTTGATACTGCCATTTTGGTGCTAGCTGGGTGTTTTGCCCTTTAGTTGAGCTGGTACTTGTTGTTCCTTTATACGTGTAGAGCCTCTTTCAGGAGCTCTTGTAGAGCTGGCCTGGTGGTGACGAAATCTCTGAGTACTTGCATGTTCCCAAAGGATTTTATTTTTCCTTCACTTATGAAGCTTCGTTTGGCTGGATAGGAGATTCTGGGTTGAAAGTTCTTTTCTTTAAGGATGTTGAATATTGGCCCCCATTCTCTTCTGGCTTGTAGGGTTTCTGCTGAGAGATCTGCTGTGAATCTGATGGGCTTCCCTTTATGGGTAACCCGATCTTTCTCTCTGGCTGCCCTTAGTATTTTCTCCTTCATTTCGACCCTGGTGAATCTGACGATTATGTGCCTTGGGGTTGCTCTTCTTGACGAATATCTTTGTGGTGTTCTCTGTATTTCCTGGACTTGAATGTTTGCCTGCCTTGCTAGATTGGGGAAGTTTTCCTGGATAATATCCTGCAGAGTATTTTCCAGCTTGGATTCATTCTCTTCGTCGCATTCGGGTACGCCTATCAGACGTAGATTAGGTCTTTTCACATAGTCCCACATTTCTTGGAGACTTTGTTCATTCCTTTTTACCCTTTTTTCTCCAGTCTTGCCTTCCTGTTTTATTTCATTGAGTTGATCTTCGACCTCTGATATCCTTTCTTCTGCTTGGTCAATTCCGCTTTTGATACTTGTGCATGCTTCCCGAAGTTCTCGTGTTGCGTTTTTCAGCTCCATCAATTCACTTATATTCCTTTCTATTTTGTCCATTCTTGTTAGCATTTCATGAAATCTTTTTTCAAGGTTCTTAGTTTCTTTGCATTGGGTTAGAACATGTTTTTTAAGTTCACAGAAGTTTCTCACTACCCACCTTCTGAAGTCTGATTCTGTCATTTCATCACACT